AAAAACAGTTAAACCATAAAAATGCGTTCACCTCTACTATAAATATCAATATGTAGTGTAGAGGAGTGCGCTAAACATATTTAATTGCTAACCATATAAATGTGACGAGCATGTGTTAATAATACAATTGCCCATGGCACTAAACTCACACAGGGAACGTGGAGTACGCTATAGTGGGCGGCACTCACATGACGTTCGAGCCGTTCCTCAACCAAATCGGTCAAGAAGTGAGTCTATGTTCGCCGCGCGGAGTGTCGGCCGTATTGGACCAAAACGCGGACGGCTTCGTGAAGGCCGATGGCGTGGCCTGTCTTCTGCTCACACACAGACAGCGGGCGCGACGAGTGTACGCCACGGCACTCGCGTCCCGGCTCAACATCGACGGCAAGAAGACCAAGGGCATGTTCTTCCCCGCCTCCGAATCGCAACAGGATCTGATGGTTATGGCCTATAAGGAGGCCGGCGTTGATCCTCTCAAAGTCAACCTGATCGAGGCACATTGCACAGGCACCAGGGTAACTTTATCTCAATTAATTTAATTCACATTAATTTAATGACACCATTAGATGTAATTTATTGATATATGAATGCAATGAATAGGCGGGTGATCCGCAAGAAGTGAAGGCCATATACAACGCGTACTGTGCACTCCCGGGCCGGACAGAGCCCCTGCCATTGGGTTTGTTGAAGAGCAATATCGGCCACACAGAGGGCTGTTCGGGAATCGCGGCCATCATTAAAGTGTTGATCGCGTTTGAAAACGAGTGCATTCCTCCCAATCTGAACCTCAAACAGATTAAAGACGAGTGCAAACAGTACTGTCCGCCACTCTATCCCAACACCGAGAAACTGCCCTATACTCCCGGTTAGTGCACTCATTCACAATGGCTTACATTGTCATCACTTATTAGATTAGTAGCTAAGACTACTCTATTGTCACCACAACAGGCATCGCTGGTATCAACAACTTCGGCATCGGTGGCCTAAACGGTCACGTGTTGATTGAGTGCAATCACAAAGTACAAGATGATGGTGCATTTCGCATCGCCGAGACAGTGCCCCGTATTATCAATGTCTGCGCGCGCACTGAAGAGGGCATCAAATATATAATGGATTTTATACAAAATAATCCGCAAAAGATTAGTCGAGAATTTTTGGCACTATTGACAGACACTATGCGTGTGGAGCCCAGTGTTAATTCAGCCGGTTTTCCATATAGAGGTAATCAGATAATCGTTGGTTAATTTATAAATGCAATAGTGATTTAAAATTAATATTTCATTCACAAACAATTATATTGCCTGCTATGAGATTTGTTTAAATATGAAAAGTATAATTTTCATTATAAAACCTGTAATGTTAACACAATTATGATAAATATTCTATGCTTTAAAAATTAATGAATGTAATTGGTCTGGAACAGAACGCAAATTTAATTGATTATATTTTTAGGCTCTGTTATAATGAAGAAATTAATTGAAGAAAATAATGAAATTAAATACGAGTATAAAAAACAGTACTCTATGTTCACTGAGAAAACCTCAAGACCTCTATGGGTACTGTTCCCGGGTTTGGGCGGACAATGGCCTGCAATGGCTGCAGCTTTGATGCCAATCAAGATATTCGCCGATAAAGTGGAAGAATGCCATCAAATACTACACGAATTCG